TGCCTGTCTCCTCTTTAGATTCCTTACCGTGGCTGTGGATGGTGTATGGGAACCAGGGACTGGGTTTCTGTGCCACAAGACTCAGTGCTTTCTCTGCTGACATAAAGTGCTGCTGAAGAACCACAGGCCACCAAAGTCCCACCTAAGCAGGTCCCTTGTCCCATCTGGCAAACCTTCAACTTTAATCCTGGGTAGGGGGCTCTTGAAAAATGAAAATGAGCTCTTACCTTCTCACCAAAACACTCCAGCAACACTCTCACCTGTCCATACCGCATGTCCAACTCTTCCCAAAGGACAAAGGCTCTGCCCAGAAATCTCACCCATCCTTCTCCTCCCAGTTCCCTGTGCGATCCTATCCAAGGACGTTTCTGCTGTGGGCACGGCAGAAAACACGCAGCATGCAGTGGGGTGTCACAGCCAAGAGATGGGTGCTGCAACCCCCAGTCCTGCAGCCATGCATTAGGAGCTCTGGAACAAACTCTCCAGCAGGCAGTGAGGAAATGAGGTGGATTAGTGCCAACTCTTACTCTTTAATTGCAGATATATTCTGTTGGTCACAGTCTCAGGAAAGCACAAGTTCCCTTTTCCTAAAATACATTTCTCTGTTTGTAACTCTTTCAAAGAACTTGCCAGTGGAGTTTCTTTTATGACGGGCACTTCTTTAATTCTTCCAGGTTCTTGGGTAGAGACATAGGCTTGCCAAAGGGAATTTTTACTACATTCAGTAATTTTTGCTGCTCTTAACTAAGTAATGGGAAGGCTTCAGACATGTCAGTGACAATTTGCATTAAAATTATAACAAAGACTCCCTTCCTGCACTCTTCAGCCTCTCTCTCTTTGACAGAATATGTGTACAGACCCAGAGGAAAGAAGCTTAGATATGGGAGATGATCCTGCTGTTTGAATTCCCATCTCTGATCAGCATTCAGGATCTGTTAGGAAGATTGTTCATGTCACAGCCATGCTAGGTGTCTGGGTCTGGTAACAGAACGTGCTGAACTAATTTGCTGACCATAGAGTAGAGACCTGCACAACACCCATCCTGAATTTGTGCAACAGCTGAGTTTATGCTGTGCCACCTTATTGTAAGGTCTTCACACCTTCCTTTGAAGTCTTGGTGACTGCTCTCAAACATGAGAGTCACCTCACATGAAGTAAACCTTATGGTGAATACTACTTTGCAGGAACCTGTTTAATGACAACTAAGTGTATAAAATCCATTACCTTAAGTTCTCCTAAATCACCTCTGCTGTTTGCCTGTGGACCTTCCCCTGGTTGCTGAGTATTTGTGGTGTGTGTTGCCCAACCCAGAGTTACCTGCCTTAGGGAGAACAGCAAATTTAGGGAGGGGAAAGTTAAGGGACTTAGCTGGGTGAATCAGTTGATTTCTTTCCCCATTTTAGAGAAAGAGACTTTCTCTACCTCTGCCTGTCAATTTACCCTTCTGACTCTGTTGAGCAGAGACTGCTCTCTGCAGAAAAGCATCTCTGCAGAGCATAGCGCTGCCTTGACTGGAACCTACAGCTGCTGCTGTCATAAAGTAATAACCAATATTAATCACTGTCAGTCTGGTTACATGGATGTCCTCCCTTTGGCTGAATATCCATCTGTATGCACCTCCCAGCCTTCCACCCCACAGAGGTGCCAGTTTATTAGTCAGTGTGGTTAAGTACCTGAGCACCCTGCAGGACTGTGACAGAGTAATGATGTTCTCAGGACAGTCCTATCAGGGTGCTCTTGGGCACAATTCATCCTGCTCACCTGAAATGAGCCACCTTAGGAGCTGGAAATCCCTAAGGGGGAATCAGATCTTTGAAGTTCCCCTGGGACAGCCCCAGGCCCTGGGGAAACACAGGGCTGCCCTCAGGGGTGTTCTTATGTTGGCACATAACCCATGTGCCTATGCAAAGGAAGAAGCTGAGCTCCAGCACAAAGGCATTTTGCATCTGGAGGACGTGTTCTCGATGCAGCAAAACATCTTTGTTATGAATGTAACATATGTGGTACTCTTCCTCTGTTTGGCAGGAGATAAGAAAAACAGAAGCAATGCAAAAATGAAAACAAAATGGAGCATATAAGCATCGTGAAACAATTACAATGCTGCATCTCATTAGGATCTAAATCTGGGATTGCCAGTCTTGTTTTAAAACCAGTTTTGTTCAACACCCAGTGACAGAATTTAAAAGCTGACATATCTTGCTGTATTGTGGGCTGCAGTCACAGCTGGTGTAAATCAGAGTAAACTAATGAAGTCAATGGAGCTTCTCTGATTTACACTAGCTGAGGTTATGGCTCAATAAGGTTGGGCTTGCTTTCTAGGAGTGTTCAAGGAAGCCAACTTCTGTGTGTCCTGTGATGAAGTGGTTATTTATAATGGCCTTCAGTGTGGTTTGGAGCCAAATTTCCACATCAAAAGTAGCTTTATAAGAGATATCCTTACAGTGAGGTTCAGTGCAAAATCATGACTTCAGAAGCCAGCTTTTCTCATGCACTCAAGTATTTGATTTCAGCCTGAAAACCATTTGAGAAGCCAAGAAAAGCAGAGCCATTCCTGCCTACTTCCCCAGCTCTGCTTCATCTTTGAGTCGCCTGCATATCCAGCAGGCCCCGACCTACACTGCCCATTTATCAAGGCGAGTTACTCTAAGTGTCTGTTTATTTTTGTTCAGAAATTCCCAGTAAGACAGACAAGTTTCATGCTTAACCTGAAAAATTGAGGAATGGGGGTGGAGTTCTTAGCAGAGTTCCAGAGCTATTTGTTTGACTTGGCCCCTGGAGGAAATAAAACACAATAACGTGTCCCGCAGTCACAGCGAGAGGTGGAGGTCACAAGAAAACAGATCATGGCTTTCACAGCTCCTCAGCTTCACTGCACTGAGTTATGGCTCCTATTGTTTACTTACTGGATTCTCCACCCTGTGTGCACGCTCCAAACATTCAAAAAGCAGCAGGTCTCTGCTTCAAAGGACTGACAGGCAAGAGAGAGACAGAGAGGAAAATCTGTCCTGAAGCTGCAGTAACCTCCTCTTCAGTTTGATCTGAAGGGTCAGATGTTCTCAGAGCCCTCAGCTGACTCCTGCCATCTGCTGAGCCATCTCTGTGCTCTCCTCTGCTGAGTTAAACTGCCAGACTCTCATGTCAAGGATGTTCCCAGCACAACCAAACTTGCTCAAGGTGGGCTTTTCCAGAGGAATATTGTTTTTTCCTAGGAGAACCCTGCTTCCTGCATGTCCAGTTTCAGTGTGGTCTGTCAGCTGTCCAGGAAACATCACAGGCTCTTTCATTGACCTTGCCACTTTGAAACAGATTGATTTCTTTAGAACTTAGTGCTAACAATGCATGTCTTGATCTGAGCTGTTGAGATCCCAAAGCAGGGCTGAAGCCTCTCCAAACCTCCTGATTGCTTTCTGCATATCCTCTGGAGAACACTGCCCTATTCTACACATCCTTAAGTGGGTTTAAGCCTCCAGGAGCTCACTGGAGACAGCGTTGTGGCAATGCTTCCAAAAAGGGAAACTTCTGAACTGCCAGCAGCAGAGAACTCCACACACAGACTGAACATGGAACACCAGTGTGTAAGAGCCTGCCTCACATCTGAACCTCTTGGGAAGTACCAGTTTCTCCTAAAAAGCACTGGATCATCTTCCTCTTTCACACCCTCAGCTTTTGCTTTTGGTCTCTTCTCTCTTAACAAAACACATGATAAATATTTGCACATTCAGAGCTGCAACCTCCTTTTTCAGGGATGTTCCTGGTCCCTCTTGGGAGATGGTTGGAGAGCCCCATTCAGTCACTGATCATTCACCAGCCTCCCAAACCAGTTGGGGTTTTTCTCAGTACCCAGCACACCAGCTGAGTGCTGTCTCTGTGGGTATTGAAATATCACTCACTGTTCTCCCCTTATTAGGTTTTTTCTATGTTGATAATTTTTCTTTGTATTTGTGACTTAATATGGAGCCCAAGTGAAGCCAGAAAATAATTTCACTAATCAACCCATCATGTTTGTTATTTGCCATTTGGGTAGGCAGTTCCACTAAAGCATCAAAAATACAAAACACTTCTGCTCCCCTCTACTTGTGTGCCTTGATCTAAGGACTATGACTAATTGTTCCTAAAAGTTTGTTGTGTTCACTTGTTACTTAAGAGAAATAATTTTCTACTTACATATTTCACAAAGACCTATTATTTTTGTTGTTACATTACTTACATTCTCCTCAGAAACACAAACCATAGAAAGATCTACTATCACCTGTGTGCTCTGATTTTTTCTCAGCTTCTCCAGATGAAGCAAGTGTGGAGATAGATTTTTTTTCTTAGTCCGGACATTGTTCAGTTTTTTAAATGGTTGAGGACACTCAGTCTTTCTGCTTTTTAACCCAAACCAAGCAGAATTCCTACCTTTTATTTTCTTATTTAATAATTTCAAGAAGTAGTTGTGTTTGGTTGTCTCAAAATCAAAAGAAATTCTCTTCACTGTGGAATATTTTAAAAAGAGAATTCTACCAGACAAATGAATTTACTTTCTGTTAACAGTCTCACAGCCTTTAAGTACTTGGCTCTAATTTTGGTTTTTAATGCTTGTCTAGTCTTACTAGGGTTGAACTGGAAGGCAGTCAGATGATTCTCAGATAACAGGCAGGAAAAAGCAATGTAAGCCCCTTATCCCAGAGGAACTAGAAGCGGTGAACTACGCACAAGTAACAAAACTGGTTTCCTCACCATCAGAACTTCTACTGAGCCACAGAGTTTCAGAACTTTCCTCCAATCTGGCTGGGGCAAAGACAGGAAACTGCATCTTCTGAGCTTTAGAAATAGATCTTAAACATGTAAACATCAGATATTATGCCCCTGTCTTTTAAGTAACATTTATATTATCTCAGATAAACAGTCTTGCTGAAGTTAGTCTGTAATTGACATCTGACACAGTCCACATTGCAACAGATATGATAAGTGCAGTAAACAGCAGAAATTATGTTTCTCTGTTCTCTGAGAAACATTCATATTTCCTTGCACAGATAAACTTTATTTTGTTGCTACGCAACTCTCACACAACAGACCGCATTCTGCAGTAAATAAGAGCACAGATTTTACAACTGGAGGGCAGGCATGTGGCCTTTTGGGTTTTCTCCCCATTTCGAGTTCCAGCCCCAGCTTTAGTTCCCTTTATAATATTCCATCATTTCACTACAAAGCTGCCTCTAAAGCTCAGTAAGGGATATTTCAAACCGAGCAAAGTGGGGGAGTCAGAATGCACGAGGCTGATGGGAAACAAATGGTGGAGCTGGTGATGTCAGTGAAACCATGAAATTAAGGGTTTTTTCTCTTTTTTGGTCTTCTTTGAAAATGAACATTAAATTTTCACAGCAAGATATTCAAAACCTGTGTGGCCTTTCCCTGCTCCCTGTAAAACTGCCATACCTGCAAGGGAGGTGAGACAGGTGAAGAGCTAGCCTTGGTTTTACCCAAGAAGAGAACAGTATAGTCTTACCTCCTTTATTCTTTACAGCTGCAAAATGTCTCCTGAATTCAGTGGATATTTGGGTTGCTCAGAGAACACAGGCACAAGTCCTGCATGTCTCTGCATCCTCCTCATGAGCAGAGTGAAGAACACCGAGATTTATCTGACTTAAGGGTGTGCATGAAACTCAATAGAGCCACTAGGCTCTTCCCAAGTCAAGGGTTAATGCCTCAGTTATCCAAGTTTCCCTTTTGCACATGGCTGCAAATTCTACAAACTCTCCCAGGCAGCATCAGCCTTCCCTTGCCACTATTAGCAAATCAGTCCAGGTGAAAAATGGGACTCTGAGCTCCAGATGGATGCAGCTGGCACAGTTTGGGCTACAGGGACTTGCAGTGGCCAAGGGTCTGACACACATCCAATGCATGTACATAGCAGCTGTCTGATTGCAGAGGGGCTTGTGCCACTTAATCAGCTGAATTTCCCCAAATTTCCCCAGTTTTGCTTTGCTCTTTGGTTCCTTAAAACAAAGACTCCTCTGGGCTCCTACAGCCTACGTGCCACAAGCCCAGATGCTTATAAAGTCACTAGGGAAAGGACACACTGTTCAGAGGAAAGCAAGATTTAATCTCTACAATCTACAGACTAGTTTCTCTAAACAGTGAGCAAGAAGCATCTTTTGCATTTTAAATTTCAGCATTTCTGTTTATAGTTTCACTTTAACAGCTAAATTACTCCCAGGCATGGAAATTAATTATCAGCATTTGTTGCAAAACACCTTGAAGTTTCTGTGCTGGTCTTTATGTATAAAGGCCCATCTCTAATCACACAGCTTTCATTAAGAGCCTGAGAGATTTGGAAGCACCTGTAAAATTTGCTTTGAGTTCTTTCTTCAGCAAGTGATTTCCTACAGAGCAGAGCGCTTCCTCAGTCAGGACTGCAGGAGGAGGCCCACAGAGGGAATGCAGTTGGATTTTGTCTGGAAGCACAACAGGCCATGCACAAGGCAGGAGTCTTCAGACCTAAATCTTGGAAAACAATGCATGATGTCTTCGGATCAGTGTCCTGTCGATTTCTTCCACTCTCCGGCATCCTGGAGGAGAAGTTGCAGATCAGTTCAAGCCCCTGATTTTCCAACCCACTCTAAGCCTTTTCTTTATCTGCCTCATAAAAATCTCCATTCTGTCAGATGAAATCCACCCCTCAGCAACCAAAGATTTGCCACTATTTTTCTATGGATTTATTGTTCTCCTTGTGAAAAAAAACCTCACAAAATAATGTTTTCACCTAATCTACTCAGTTCCCCATTTATAAGGCAGGGATAACAAGTCTTTTTCCCATTTCTCCACAGAGTAAGTTGTTTAGATTGCAGACATTCCCCTCGTGCAAGTTGCTATAGCACCTTGCCTGGGGCAAATGAGAAAATGTGATTTTGGAGAGGAAATGCTGATGTCCCACCTGTCAGTGCCATTGCCAGGCAAAACTCCTCCTTCAGCATCTGGAGAACTTCTTTTGCTCCTTCCTCACCCTGGGAGATTAGGAGACAATGAGAACTATGATGTGTACGTTTATGTGTGTAGGCACAGACAGGTATACGTGTGCCAAGAAAGGTTTCCTGCACAAACATAAATCCTGAGGGTTGCTCATAGCAAATCTGAGCAGACAGCAAATCAGATGATGTGGATGCACACAGATGCATCACACACACACATATGTGCATTTAATAGGGTTAAACAGTGAGTCCAGGGATCTGCAGCCAGGCATTTGGGCTTTCCCCCACTTACCTGATAAGCCAGGCCCCAGAGGACAGGTCTCCCAACAAAAACAGCTTTGGCACCAAGAGCCAGGGCCTTGAGAACATCCGTGCCTTTTCTCACACCTCCATCCAGGAACACCTCCACCTTCCCCTCCACAGCCTCCACGATCTCAGGCAGCACATCAATCTAGGAGAGAGAAACCAGGAACACAGCTTGGCTGCTCCTGAAGCTCTATTTATTTTTTGAGCCAGTTCTTACACAGAGGATCCAAGCTTTACAGCAGCTTAATGAGCAGTTGCATGCCTAAATATACACCCAAATAACACAGCTTTGTATTGAGAACCAGCAGTGACTTTGCAGGGTACAAGGTACATACAAAGGTCAGATTTATTTGGAGAGTCACATAAACAGAATGAGAATCAGCAGGGTCTCAAAAAATGGGCATCTGACCCCATGACACATATCTGACACAAGCCAGTATCTGAATCTTGTGCAGAATATATGAAACAGCAGCATTAAGGAAGCCTTTTCATGGTGTTACCTCCCAAACTTCCAGCCTTCACTAGCTTGGGGATGAAATTGGATCAGCTCACTTTTTAAATAATTATCTTTGCTCCCTGTTTAAATTTCCCATTCATTTATCCTGAGGGCCAGCTCAGGAGCCCAGAGGCAGAGTGTGTATCTACAGACAAGGAGTGAGAGAAACACATGCCTGGAGGAACTTAGAGTTGGCTGAAAATTTTTAATTAATGTACGTTCCCTCTTGAAAATGCATCTAATTACAGAAATGACTAAAGAGAAAAACTTAACATTAACTTTCCTCTAAATTTTGAGCAAGGTGGGAGGTAATTTCTTTTAATGCACATGTGTGCTGCTTTCACTGAGCTCTGCTCATCCCCTTTCGCAGCTTATCCCCTACACCAGTGACACAAGAGTAAGGGGGGAAATATTTTTACTGTTCTCAGGTTACAAGTGTGTAACCAGGGAATTAAGTAATTCCTCTTGCCATGCAAGAGGTCCCAATGAAAGGATGAGCCTCCTAAATCCAAGCCTGGAGCATTAATTACAGGGCAAATTTTCCTACAAGGCCACCTAAATAGTTCCTATTCATGAAAATCAGGAAAGGAGCACCACCAGAAGCCAAGTATTAAGGAGACTGGAAACAGTGTGTGGAAGTAAGACAAAAGACACACAAATTCACATCTTTCAAATACGGATGTAATTCATTTCCTTTCTAATGGATAAAAATGACTAGAAGATGGAGGGAAAAAACTTGAAAGTGCACTTTGTTTTGAGATTTGGATTAAAATTTTCTTGAAGTTTGGCACTTGCTGTGATTTTCCCCCTCCCTTTGGTTTTGCTCTCTTGCCAGACATATTTTGGATCTATTTCTACATCCAGAGACCACTTTCTACATCCTGACAAACCGTACCAACATTAAAGTGCTCTAATAACTAAGGCATGATGCAAACAATAATTAAAACTTAGATTTCCTCAATGTGTAACTAGACACTAGAAATATTGACCAGCTTGGGTTCAGCTCATGATCTGAAACCCCACGAAACTGAAGCAAATTATTATGTTTCTAAATCAGAACCATTTCACATGACCTGATACAGATTCTGTATAAAAACAGGCATTGTGGAGTAGTGTTCTCTGTACCAGAAACCCAGGGAACACATCAGTTTTAGCAGTTTTCCTCTGCCCTGTGGTGTGGCAAAGGAGTAAATCCTAGCAAGGAGTTTGCAAATTTCTCTTCTGCTACAGCTGTCAAAAATTAATTTGTATTTCTTGAGCCTCATGAGTTCCTCAAAATGATGTTTTTAACAACCTTTTACATTGTTGCTGTTGGATTACCTCACACACAGGCTTGCCCAAGAGTTTCAAATGCTCTCAGTGAAATTGGGGAATACATTCCCAGGAGGTGACAAGAGGACCTGTTTCCCTCTCCCTTCAGGGAACCAGCATGGAAAACAGGAGGTTTTTCATCGAGAACATATTGGAAATACCCAGAGAGGCACAACTGGGCTTTGATTCCCCTCCCTTTTATTCTCTTTTTATTTGTGCAGCTTTCCCACACCAAATGAAGCAAGATGAATGATGACTGGAACTTTGGGGTTTTTCCTTCATCCTGAGCACATACTTTTTCATTTTCCTTTACTTCTTTCTTTTTTGCCGACGGAGAAATACTCAAATCCCTTTCACCTTTGGAAAAGTCATGGGGTAGCATGACAAGGAAAAGGAAAAAGGAAAAACTGTAATTTAACCACTCTCTCCCTTTTCCAAAGGTGAAAATACTTGAAAGGAGAAAAATGGAGAGTTTCATTCTGCTTTTAGCTGTTCCTTAACTGCAATCTTTCAGAAGCCTCCAAAGAATATTAAAAGAGGAAAACTGACCCTAATACAACCTTCAGTGTGCTGCAAATGGCAACGAGGATTTTTCAAAAAAGAATGAGAAAGATGACATGGAAGAGGAGAGTGGAAAAAAAAATTCTGAAAGATTTTCCAATTTGATCTACCAAGGAAAGGCTGTGTCTAACTCAGAGTACGATGTGACATACATAGAGAAGTGGAGAGAGGTTTTTACTCATGGCTTAAGGCATAGAACACTTATTCCAGGTTTTTCCTCCAGCTTCTGCATGTTCAGAGAAAGCAAACAAGAACCCAAAAGGCAGAGAAAATTAGAGATTACTGGAGCATATTGGCATCAGTACTCACAGTAGCAGGGACCCCATCAAGCTGTCGTGCTCCATGATTTGACACCAGGATCCCGTTTACCCCAAGCTTTACAGCTTCTCTGGCATCATCAGCTAGGAAAAAACCCAAACAGGATGTGTCCCTCCATAAGTGGGAGCTTGTAGACACCACAATCAAGGAATCACTAAGAAAACCATTGTCAGCTCATGTAAAGCCACCTGAGGGCTTCAGCCTTCCAAAGCCTCGCCTCAACACAGAAAAAGGTTTTATCTTTAAGTAATAAGCTTGAAATGTTGGAGCAGAACATTTTATCCCTTTGGATCGGGAGCCACCTTGGTTGCTAGCCCTTATTTTCTCTATTATGTTCCAGAACTCATTGGTAAGAAATTCCTTTGCTGAATGATTTTGTCTACTACAAAATTACTGGCACGACGGTATTAATGGTGGCGTTGGGGACAACAGCAGGCACTTCTTTAGGCAGCTGCTCCCACAAACACCGTCCCTGGTGGGTCCCTGGTGGTGCAGGAGGAGGTGAGAGCCGTGCCCTTGCCCTGTCCCAGGAAGCAGCAGGGTACCCACCCCTGAGGATGCCCTTGAGCACGATGGGCAGCGAGGTCAGCGCCCGCAGCCACCTGACGTCCTCCCAGCTGACGGTGGCATCGATGGCCTCGGCGACGTACACGGCCAGCCCGCTGTCCTCCCCAAAGTCCTTCCCTGAGGAAAAGGCCAGATCACTGCTCGAGAAGTTCTTCAGGCTAAAGAGTGACACAAGACACAGAAAAACAGCCTGAGGAGGATTCTCTGCAGTCACCATGGGTCCCTAATGGCAGCATGCCTGAGGCAAAGCTTTGCTGCAGCGCAGGGCAGGACCAAAACCAGCCAGTCCCAGCAGGTCACATCCCCCTCCTCAGTGAGCCAAAACCTTTGGCTGACAAAGCATTGACAATCAAAACAAGCATTGGATCTTTAATGTCCCATCCAACCCCAAGTCTTGCTACTTTCTGTGATGGTTTTGTGATAAATCTGGGACAAGTTTCTCCAGGCCAAGGAAATAGTCTGACTTCTATAGCAAAATAAATAGGGCTGGATTTTGTTCTTCAAATCCAGGGAATTCAGCTGTGAGAGGAATAGGGGATCAGGGAGGAAATAAAGTTTTCTTATGCTCCATGAAACAGATGGATGTCCATGAAGCTTTGCAAAGAATTCAGAATTTTCATCTGTCCAATAAGGCCAACAGCCAGCCTGTTTACCGTGTGTCCCTTTTATACATTCCATTGTAAAATGCAAAGAGGAAAGGAAGCTCATGGGAAAACATTGCTGTTACTTGGGTTTTTCAGCAACAAAATCTCCCAGGTTCTAGCACATCCATGTCCCAGTTGCCCTGCTCTTCTGAAACCGTGTCCTGTTCCACATTGAGCTATTTAATACTCACTTTTCACATTTTGGGAAGTGCATGAGTGTTTGTGCATGGAACCTGGCTGGTTTCACTGCTGATTTCATGCCTGCAACAAGCAGCATTTCACATGGTTTTTCTGTTCAGCTCCAGGCCCAGGAGCAAACGAGAAAGGAGCAGGCTCTCAGCAAGATCCAGCTTTTCAGCTGGTTTGTGGAGGGTGGGGTGCCCAGAGAAAAACAGAGCCATGGATAAGATTATATAAATAACTGTTGTTTTTCTTGGCCTGCAGAATGCAAATCAACACTTGGATGAATGTTGCCTTACATACATTTCAGAGCACAATGGCACCTTGTTGTTGCTTTGAAACTTTGTTGAAAAGCCGAAGCCAAGAAAAAGTTATCACATAAATGAGCAGAGCCCTGCGCTAGGAGAGTTTCACTGTGGCTCTGCAACAAAGCTCTGCCCAGGCAGCACTCAGGGATCTGCAGTGATGAATTGGAACCTTCAAGGATTACTCCAATTTCTCATGATTTCATCCTGTTCACTCAAAACCTTGTTATATTTGGGCAAATATAACAAATATATTTGTGGTGGGGTCAAAGTGCTTCAGAAACTCTCTCCCGCTTTCCTCAAATGTCTTTGGATTGTTGGACTCACATTCAAGAACTCCTCAACCCCAGGCCTTAAAATTCTATTGCCTCTAAAAAGTAAGCTATTTTCTAATTGCCTAATTTTATCTTTTAAAGTAAAAGGTCAGTGTATATTGGTAATGTGTCAAGCACAGATCTCGAGCACAATTACAACACAGGGCACACACCGGCGTGGTACATTTTCATGTTAGATGTGTTGGGGCTTTTTTGCTTTCTGGTGCTTTCCCCCTAAAACTGTACTTTAACAGAGAAACCAGGGCAGAGGTCAGTTCCTCTCTCAACTTTCATCTCTTAGGTGCAAGTACAAGTGCATGGGGGAGAGCCAACACTCATGCTCTGGAGGGGTTTTAGCCAGCAAGGTAGAGAAGAGCAGAGCCCCATGGCTTATCTTCCTTTTGAACAGTATGGAAATGAAGAAAAACTCTGGATGAGATTCTTGCTAAGTACATATTACTTACAGCATGTGTACAGTATAACACAACAATCTTTGGAGACATAGGAAGAACAATTCAATTTCACTGACAATATACAAAACTAGCTTTCACCCAGAACTCACCTCAAAGTTTATCTGCTTCAAAATGCATTAAGCTATTTTCTTTGTCTCTTCATTCTCATGCTGTAAATAATTCTAACATGTGCCATGGTAGACTCTGGTTTTTACCAAGAGCTACATGCAAGAACCTCACAAGATTTTTAGCTTCAAGTCCTGGATATCCCATTGAGTAAATATTCTTGCAGCCAGTCCTTGGCTGCTCGAACGGTGCCAGCGCTTCAGCATATGTTTATCAGGGGAGTCTCTAGTCTTATCAATTTGTATTTACAAAAGGCCAAGCAAATCAGCACTTAAACACCATTGTAAGGTTAAAATCCTGGTTTAACTCTGTTAAAATTGAAATCCTCATTGCCCCTGCAGTGGGGAGGAACTAGAATTAGTACTGAAAACAATGGTGATGCCACAAATTCTGAGATGCAGAAAATGTCCCAAAACACACTGTGGGGTAAAAATTGCCCTCATGGAGAATTTAGAAAGATTGATATCCACATGTTTCTGTATTGGAATAAAAGAAGAGTTGGAGTTACTTGAAAAGGGGCTCTGCAGTTGGTATCAACATGGTCCTGGACCCAGAGCAGTGTCATAGGACAACGCAGGAGCAACCATAACATCTTTTGGAAGAGCAACCTTAACATCTCTTGGCCCACTTTTGGAGCCCAGCCCATTCTGCTGGTGGATCCCAGTTCAACATCAGAGCAGGTCACTCCAGGCTCTGCCCTGTTTAAATACAGCCAAGAGCACATTGATCCGTGCACAAAGAATTGCCCCACGTGTCTCACTCCAGCAGCCTGCCTGGCACAGCATCTTTTAGCGTGCCAAGAGCCGGGAAAGCTATGTTGTGCTGCAGGCAGACACACGCACAGCCGCACAGAGGCGCTCCCGGCCCCAGCATGTCCCCCAGCACCCCGCGGCGTCGTCCCAGCCCCTCAGCCAGCAGCGGTACCTGAGGTGCGGGGGCAGCTGGAAGCGGTTGCGCACGTCGGCGCGGCGGCGGCCGAGGTAGGGCGTGTCCACGGTGAGGAAGATGCCGCGGAAGCCGGCGCTCTCTGCGCGCCGCACCAGCGCCGCCGTCACCCGCCGCTCCTTGTACGCGTACAGCTGCAGCCAGCGCAGCGCGGCCGGCGCCGCCGCCGCCACCTCCTCAATGGAGGACGTGGCCCAGGAGCTGAGCATCATCCCCGTGCCCACGGCCTGGCACGCTGCGGGAACACAGAGGGACAGTCTAAACAGGAGCATTCAAATAAATGCACTTAAAGCTTCCAGGTTTTTGGGTGCTGCCACTTCGCCTCCCAAAAATCGCCCTCTGCATGGGCAGAAGTGAGCTTTTTTGGGATGCCCATTCCTAAGCTGGAGCCTGCTTTGCTCTATTCCTGTCACATCTCACAGCAGACACCAGGGAACATATATTGTCATGGGAGCACTAGCATTGTGCTGGCAGAACTCGGTACATCCCTCTGGGTGTGCAGAGTTGCCAGGACCCCTGCCAGGGGGCTCGGAGACCCTGGCACACAGCCCAGAACACCTGCAGGTTTGATTATGACCCATGGAACAAAGTACCAGCTTTGTATGAAGACCTGAAAACCACAGAGGTTTAAGTAGTGTAATAATAAAATTATCACTAGGTGAAAAAGTAGATTTTAGGGTTTTTAGAATAGGGGTTTGAGGGACGAGACGGAGGGACTTGTGTCACAAACACCTTTTATGGAAAATCCTTTCCTTAGGATTTTTCCTCCTGAGAGGCCTCAGGAACAAAACGCAAACAATGGTTATCTGCTGCTGTGGAATGCAACAGGTGGATCTTTGATGGGCCCACATTGGATGTTCATAATTAATGGCCAATCACAGTCAGCTGGCTCGGACAGAGAGTCCAAGACACAAACCTTTGTTATCATTCTTTGCTATTCTATTCTTAGCCAGCCTTCTGATGAAACCTTTTCTTCTATTCTTTTAGTATAGTTTTAATGTAATATATATCATAAAATAATAAATCAGCCTTCTGAAACATGGAGTCAGATCCTTATCTCTTCCCTCATCCAAGAACCCCTGTGAACACTCTCACAGACTTGGGCATGTCTGGCCCTTCTTCTTCATCTTCTTCTCTGCCTCCATCTTCTGCTGTGATGTTAGGGATTGGTTTAGAGTAGAAACTCACTATCTAACATAGGTGATAGATATTGGAAAGTAATTGTAAACATTGTATGCATAGTTTGTAGTATAAAGAGATCACACAGCCCCGGGGCAGTCAGGGTGCCTCTGTCGGTCCTGCTGGACGCACCTCGGCTGGACAGGAGAAAAAAGTTATAGATAAGACACAATAAACAACTCTGAGACCAAAAACTGAAGAACTCCGATTCATTCTTTGAACATTCAGGCCGAAACAGAGACTTTCCATTTGTCTTGGGGCTGCAATAAACTGCAAACCCCCAAGACTGTGCCAGCATCAAACCAGGACAGGCTGCCAGCCCAGGCTGCACCAGCTGACCTCACACAGATAAGTTCTTCTGAACCTGTCACTCATTCTTTTTGGAGTAATCTGTCACTTATTGTAAAATAAAGTGAAAACACTGTAAAACTCAGAAATATTACAGAAAGCCTCGTTTTCCTTGGTCTACCACAGTATGCATATTTTTAATGTAAATGGACCTCTGTTTCAAGACGTCATCCCCAGCCCATGGAGGAATTAAAAAGTGGTCTTTATGACAACATTTTATTAAATAAGGATTACAAGCCTCTTGGAGTGGAAACTTATGAACAGCTTATTCAAACAAATTGGTTACACCCTCCCAGGGCCACCAGCCAGTTTTCCCTCACTGGAAATCCAGCAGCAATCACCCAAACCCTTCCAGTTTGAAACCATCTCCTGCCCCTGCTTTAAACTGCTGGACACAATTCCCTCTGTACTGGGAATGCTGCAAACCCAGGAATTGCAAAACCCTCACATCAGATAAGGGAGAAATGTAAATGTTATGGTTCAAGCTGCCTTTAGGTATCCATTTATTTCCATTTTTGCCTTTTATTCTCACGCCTACCTCTATTGCAAAAGCAAAATTTAGTTAGAAACTGCACAATAAATAATTTTTGGTGAAGAGAAGATATGAATCATGGGATATCACCATATCCTTTCAACTTAGCTGCCCATGTAGCAATAGAGAAAATAGTGCCTTTCTCTTATTTAAGATCAGGTTTAAGCAGTTTGGTTCAATGAGAGTTCAGCCATCCCAAACTGGCTGTTATGGCATTTTCATGCAAGCATGCTCACAAAATTCCCCTCGTCTCTCCTGCAAAGTTCACAGCTCTCTGGTGAAGCACCAGCTCCACACACGCAGTTTAGGTCTCTCAGGCAAATCCAAAGTTCACAGACAAAATTTTTCAAGGTTTTAGAAATCCCCAGTTTCAGTTTTGGTCAATCTGTGCTTGATCTTGATCATTTTAAAGCTTATTTTGACAATTTTTAGACTTCTAAAACCATGAGATACAGAGGCTGCCAGATTTGCTTGGGTTTTTTTCTACCTCAAATTAGGTTTCTCTAAAAATAGCTCCAACTTCTCACACATTTAGCTGCAATTGAAGAAAACAGAAGCAATTAATTTCCTCTAACAGCCATATTTTACACTTACTTTTGGGGTGCTGCAAGTTATTATTTCAAATCAGTCCTACGACAGCCATATTCCCACAGGATGCTCTTGCTGCAAAGTGTGACATTTGCCAGAGTTTAAGCACGAGATGTTTTTGTAAACCAGCCTTTCCTCATGCCATTGCATGATTGCTTTTAGTTGCTTGTTCTTTTTGGATTTTTTTTTCCCCAGGTCTTCTTTTAATCCTGAGCCTTGCCCAAAGGATTAATTCACCCTTGTACACCCTGGAGGCTCCTGTTGGGCTCTGTGACAGCAGAGAGCACAGCAGGAGCCACGCACAGGGAGCTGGGGAGCCCATGGGATCACAGAAAGGTAAAGAATCTCTCCCTCACGCCAATCCAAACCTCCCCTCTGGCACTTGGAAGCCATTCACTCTGGAAAACTCAACTGAGGTGTTTCACACAGCAACAAATGGGGCAGGATGCACTGGGGAGCCCCAGTGGGGAACACAGCAGTGACTTTTCTTAGCCCTTTTTCCATCCTGAAGCCTCAGAGCATCCTCCCCCACCATGCCTCTGGATTCACATTAATTTTCATATCTCAAAATCAACCTCACCTTTTGATCACCACACAGGTAACAGGGTCCTGCTGCTTTCACTGTGGCTGAGCACAAAATGTAATAAATGGCCAATTCCCCTCTTCCCAGTCACAGCCATGTCTGACGGGCAGAGGAAACCCAAATTTCAGTGCTCAGCATCACAGAGAGAAAAGGCACAGTAGCAACCTGTTAAGAGCCAAAGGAACAAAGGTGTTGCTCCCTCTCCAGTGGGAATGACAGAGCTGCCAGAAGCTCTGTAAAGCAGGGGGAACAGAACAGCTTTGCAGTCAGCACTGCTGTGCTCCATTTGGCAGAGCAGAGGGGGCAGGTGATGGTGAAACCCTTCCTGCCTCAGCAGCAGCCTGGACAGGGGCAGCAGTGCAGCTGCACAGGGCAAGCACAGAAAGCCCAGCCTGAGCACTGTCAGGGACAGCTCCCAAAATACCTGGCCAAGAGCACAGTCAGGTTCTCAGCCTGATTTTCTGCCATTCATGAAGAAGCCAGGCTCTGCAATGCTGTTGTGAGGTGAAAACAGGAATTTAAACCACTCATTAAGTGCAATATGGAATGAGCAGGAGTATAAAGACAAATCTCAATAAAATAATGCTACAGATCTGTTCATGATCAATTAAGGTTGCAAAACACCTCATCTACTTCTTGCTGAGCAGCTGGGTGGTGCACAGGATTCTGAGTCAGGGTACTCAAAGTGGGTCCTGTTGGTTTGCAAGCACAGCATGAAGTCAGGGTGGCAAAGGAAGGCCTTGGCTTGGAGGAACAGGGAATCTGCTGGTGGACAAGCAAGAGGAAAAAGATCCCATAGAATCAGAAGGGTTCCATTGAAAAGTGTTTAGAGAACAACCTTTTGCTCTTTAGTGGCTAAGATTATTCATCAAATTTGGCAAATATTTTTAGTCAGAGAGGTTGAAATTGGAGTGGGAAGGATGAGAAAAAAACACCTAAGTCAAAATGTCATGTGTTGATCTTTTCAAAATGGAAATGTTTTCTCCTGAGCTGACACTTTTGTTTCAAAACAGAACTATAGCTAAAAGCATTAGCCAGTAGGAAAATGAAATAAAACATTATGTTTTGGATCAAATGAAACATTTCAGTTAATCCAAAACAATTTTCCTCCCAATTTTTCAGTCTCTACTGAACAGAAAATCCATTCTTTGGAAAATTGCCACATACACTGATGAGCTACAACTAAAATGCCAGGGAATATACTTGAAGGAAGACCTAGAAAAACTGGGACAACTGCCAAGGTGCATGAAATTGTTTCAAGGACAAGAGAGCTTTCTCTGTAAGGAAGGACTCCTGCTACATTCGGACAAAAGTCAGAGAAAACTGAGGAGCAGCCTTATTACAGCCTGCATAGACATTTTTAAAAAGTCATTATTTTAAAGTCTAGCTAATAGGAGTAAAGGCAACATGTGGATTTGAGGCTGTTTGACAAGATTTGACCATTAATGCAGTTTATTCTGCTCAGAGTGGACTCACCTAACCTTTGAATAACTTACATTATATTGGCTGGCCTGTCACCAGCAAGTCTTAAAATGACAACTGGCTGTTTTCCCTAGAAAAGATTATTTACTCACACAAAAGCACTGCCTGTGAAGGGTGTTTGAGCTGACAGACCCTGCCCTGCCCTGGGAGGGTGCACACCCTTCTCCAGCAGCCTGGCTGCTGTGGGACAGCATCCCTCAGGGGCAGCAGGCCCCAGGCCCTGACAGGCCCCAGAGCCAGAAGCTGCGAGGGCAGGGAGTTCTGAGGGACACCATGACACGCCCTTGTCCCCAGAGGGGACATTGACCCTACAGCCATGGCCAAACCTGCTGGGAGAGCAGAGCAGCTCCAAGCAAGACAATTCCTGTCACTCCAGGGAATTCTTTAAGCATTGTTCCCGGTGCTCAGGGAAGGAGCTGCCATTGCTCTCCTCACCTCCCTGCTCTGCAGGGCAGCGTGGTGAGAACCAGGATTATCCCGGAGCTCAAGGCTGACTGGTGGCACACAGGGAGGCTCCTCTGGGAACTGCTGTGCCCCACCAGGAGGCAGGGCACTGCCTGGGAAGGGACAGGACTCGGGCCATGCTGTGCCTCTCAAGGACCATGGCCACGGCAGAGGCACCACCCCAAACAGCACATCCTGCACACCAAGAACAGCCAGGCTTATGGAGCATGCCAGGCTTGGCAGCAGCCACAGGGCTATGGATCAGGCTTCCTTGGCTTGTGCAAACCCATGCAGCTGAAGCAGAAGCTGAATTAAAGCAACCAAGAGTTTGCTCACTCTGTGCCACCTCTGGAACAGAAGTTGGATGTGGCAAACCCCCTGATCCCAAGGGTCCCAAGTTTAAGAGAACCCTTAAACCAAATATGTACTTTACAGCTGATTTCTGTCATAAGGTCAAACCAAAAGCTTGGCACCAAGTGCCCCTCTCCTCCTCTAACAGCACAAAACCATTCTTTTTCTCCCCCAAATGCCAGTGCAACACAGAGGATGTGATTTTAACACCGCCAATCCTTTGAAAGCAATGAAAAATTTGCCAGCTCCAATGGATAAGTTTACTGGACCACACATTTGAACTTTTGGTGGTGCCAGTACACTGACCTGTGCCAGCTTGGAAACCCAGGAACATTAAATGCAATAATCATGTGTTAAAGTTTGCAAATGTGGCATTCAGCCTTACTGCACTACTCAACTTTGCATGCCATTGAAGATTTATGCCTTAAAATGTGCCCAGGCTGCAGCATCAGAGGAATGTTTGCTAAGAAACATCCTGAATGTTGCGTTCCAAATCTCGCTCTCACCGTCGCATTAATGTTTGCACTCAATGTTTCAGAGCTCCCTCCCTGCAGGACCTGGCCCAGAAGGGACCGGCGGGGCTGCCAGAGGATGGGGCAGCAGCAGCGGCCCTTCCCGGAGCGATCCGAGGGGCTGCAGCGCCATCGCGTGGAGCAGCCGGCACCTACACACAGGGAAAGCAGCGGCGGATCCGCCTAACTCTGCTGGGCGGGGAAAGCGCGGCCCCGAACGGGCTGAGAAATGGGAGAGGTGAGTTTGGCACAGACAGAGCTGCAGCTCTCACCCCCTGCACAGCACAGCCATGAGAACCGAGAGCAGCTCCCGCTGCAGCGCTCACAACTCCGCTCGCTTCACACCAGAGCTGCTGCACTGGGCATGGAAAGGCTGCCAGATGAATAACCCAGCCGTGCGCAGGATTAATGCTTTTTTAAACATCACCTATTTAGGTTTCGTGCCCTTTTCCTTTTTCCACTGAAATGCACAGCCCGCACCCCTTATTCAGATTTAGTGCCATCCTGCAGCTCGAGTTAAAGGAGCAGGAGACAGTTCTCCATCTGAATTCTGGTTAACATCCTTTTGAGCAGCAGCCTCTAGCAACATCTTTGTGCAGCTTCCAGCCCAGAGGGGCCTTTATCTCACTGCCTCCCTGGGATGCTCTCAAAGAGCTCTCTTCCAAGCGAGGGTTTTTGCCAGGCAAAAAAAAGGCCTCAATTTCTGGAGTCAATTCTCTAACGGGAAGAACGTTGCTGTGACAATGTTTACAGTAACACAGAATGTATGGATGGGTAGATAGGTGTTTCAATTATATAGGTAACAAATTATTCCCCTCTTGTATCCTTTATTCCCTCCCCCCCTCCCCCCCCGTTTCATAGAGAGGGAAACCACAACAAGAGTGAAAGAGTAAAAAACAAAGGCACAAAGGCAAGAATCAACCCCGAGCAGCAGCTCAGAGCCCGCAGGAGCCCGAGCCATCCGGGATGCCCAGGCAGGCCCCGCCCTGTCCCTCCCCGCTCACCTCGGGCTGTGGCCGTCTCTCCGAGGGGATGAGCCATGCGCTGCATCGCGGTGGCGGCCACGCACACGGGCACGGTGACCCTGTGCCCCAGCACGGAGGTGGACAGGTCCATCACCGACACGTCCCTGAGCACCCGCGGGTACAGCTTCCACCTGCCACACACACAGATACGCCGGATTTCAAGGGCTGCAGCAGGGGAACGCACAGGAGCAGCTGGTGCTGCTGTCAGAACCCCACTGTGCCACCCAGAGCTGCAGCAAAACCCCTGCAGGTGCTCCACACCTGGAGGGACCAAAGAGCAGCGAGGGTGAAGGAGGCAAAGAGCCCTTGAACATTTCTGGCTGGCGTTGTTAGAAAGGAAAGAGAGGAGCTGTAAAACAATGAGGTTGTGGTGAGCCCCAGCCCCCTGAAAGCCTCGGGGCAGAACTGGGTGCCAGAGGCTGTGTGCACACGGGAACCAGCAGACACGGGATTATTGGTAACACAAGCCTGGCCTGCAGGCTTGGAACTCCCTTTTCCAAAACAGAGCAAACTAAACCACACTTAACCTGAAATTACAGTTCACTGCAGCCAGGCTGCACACACAAATTTACCTTTTTTCACCTCCCACCCACAAAACAGCATCAGAAGACCATGATCCCTATTAGGGCATCAACTAGGCACCATAACACCCAGGGTTTTTGGAGCAGGGCTGCATTGCTGGGGATACCCGTGCCATGGGACTGGTCCCATCATTTAGGGCTGTCACAGCACTGCCACCACTGGGAGCCACAAGAGGGGGTGCCACACCTGGGGCTGCCTCTCCTGAGCTCAGCCAGGCCAAAGCCTCGCTGCAAGCACCGACTCCCACCGAGGCCTGCCTCCCTCCCTCCCCAAGGGCTCCCATGGTTTCTGAACTGTAACTGCAGAGAAGAATTAAAAATGTATGGTCTAATACTGCTAATACTGCAACTGCTCAGCACCAGAATGCTCAAGACTGATAATATTGTAATTACCAGCACAGAGAGAGAACCAGAGCCACTGCTACCCTCCAACAGGGAGCAGAGGTGAGCTTGGGCATTAAAATGAAAATCTGTTTTATAGAAAGATCAAGAGACATTTCCCCAAAAAGCCTGGGGCAGATCCCACCTTTCTGAAGGCCTGGGGCTGTGCCAGCTCTGCAGGCAGTGCTCCCCAGGGAGGAGGAGGACAGTTATGATGCTTGGAATGAGATGTGTGGCTGTGCAAGTCAGCTGTGCTGCTCAGTGCCAAGACACACACGGCAGGAACATCTCCTCACACTTGTTTCCATGCCATTGTAACACTTTGTTATTTTTCAGGGGAGGATGGGCTGAGGGTGGGACAAAGAAAACATCACTACTATCTCCCCCTTTTTTCCCTAATCCTCATTCTGAAGGCTTCCACTCTGCCCCGAGGTATCTTTTCCCAGGAAAGAAAGAAAACAAAAATCCCTTTATAACCTTGCTGATTTATGCAGTCAAACCCAAAAGCACGAAGGATGTGAAGCATCTCCCCTGCTCCCCAGGCTCCTGGTTTCTCACACTGGCACCTGCCTCTGCCATCTCACAGCCAGCCTGTGAGGGTCAGTCCTGAGGTACAACATCCCTGTGGTGCTTCTGGCTGGGAAGAGAAACAGGAGGAGCCAAAACCCTCCCCGCAGTGCATGCAAGAGAAGTGATGCAGTCCCAAGCAGAGATCCCTGATCAGGTCACCAGCAGGTGCTCCTGACACAGAACTCAGCACTCCCACAAAAGCACCAAGACACCAGAGTATCATTGTCCCTCAGTAAAACCTGCTCTTGCTTTGGGAACTCGGGTGTTTGCAGCTCTAAGTTGGACAGACGCTTGACACCAGTGTGGTCTGGGCAGGGAAATGCCCTTCCCAGCAGCAAGGGAAGCTCACAGGCAGCATTTCCCCACCACCAGTGCACACTCACTGGGCTGCACACAGCACCTGCTTCCTCCAAGTCCCTCAGTGAACATTTCCTGCCCATTTTGGAAAAAAACTTGGATTTATTTTAAATTCATCATCTCCTCTTCACCCACATGTTTCCCAGCCAAGTCCACACGGGTGTGCTGCAACCAGCAAGTGAGAGTGAGTGCATCCTTGTTCCCAGCTGGAAGCAGGAGGTGCTGCAGAGGGAAGGCAGCAAGCACTCCCAATTCAGGCAGCTCCAGCTAAAAGCTGTTTGGAAGGAAGGATTAAAGGGAAGGAAGGGGGATTAATCTTTTGAGGTCTTTGCTTTTTTCTCCATGCTCAAAAAAAATTTGAGCATGCAGTGGGGTAAGAGGGAAGCACTAGCTGCTTTCAGTTGGGAAAAACATGGAAATTTTCAAACTGCACCATATTTTCAAGCATTTCCTCTTGTCCTCTCCTGAGCTGTCCCAAATCCCCTCGTGCTGCAGGGCAAGAAGCGCATTTGGACAAAGACAGTGCTCAAGCCAAGCCTCCATCCTAAACCCAACCCAGTTTGCTGCCCTTCTGTCTCCTACAGCTCCACTTCCCTTCAGGGGCTGGTGCTGTGCCAGGCTAAGCAGCAGCTGCTTTTCCTTGGGGAACGTTCTCTTCCCTCCCAGCATGTTTTGCCATCCACACTCTTTTTGTGCTGCACTGGGAATCTGAGGTGAAAGACATCACAACAACACAACTGAATAATTATTCCAAGCATTCCTTTCCTTTTCTGCCCTGAACTTCCCAGACTTGTCTGACCCAGTCCCACCATCAGCCTTGCTTTTCTAACCAGTGTTTAAATTACCTCTGTGGCCATTTTAATGTCTTTAACTGCTATAAGGTAGCAGGAAGTTTGCAGAAAGCCCGCCCTGATGAACTCAACTGATGAATTGATGATGCACTGCTGAAGCAGCAGCTGCTGCTCCTTGCACACGACAGAACTAGGCAGCTTCTCCCAAGGCCTGCAGGAATTCCGTGGCAGGGTGGATTAGCAGGAGCCTGCTCCACATCACCCTCCTGGCATGCTGAGAGGGGAGGCTCCAGACTCATTTCCGGAATGCCATCAGCCAAAGGCATCCTGACAAGGTCTCTTCTTCATCCTCTCTTCTCCATCCAGGCCCCTCACTTCTGTGACAACTCCAGAGGGGATTTCAGCTCCAGACAGGCCTGGGAGGACACTCAGCATTCCAGGGTGCAGAGCAAACCCAAGGAGAAGGCAGGCAGGCACCACAGGGAATGACAGATGCTCTGCCATCCCAAATCATCCTTCCTGACCTCACTTCTGCCAGGACCATTGGAGAACTATGCATAAGCAATACTTTTCTGGCCTCAGCAGAACACACTGATGTCAACACCCATGTGCTGGTTCTTCCCTCAGTCCCAGGAGAGCTGCTGTACCTGGGGTTAAACTCACCTTAAACACTGTCCTTGTGGAGGCAACTTGGACTCTGGGAGCTGATTACACAAAGCACCTCAAGGCCAAGAGGCCAAGACATTCATTTTATAATCCAATGACTATGAATTGTGCTGCTCCAAAAATTGCATGGAGTATTCTAAAGATACTGCAGGATCTAGCAACACAACCATCCATTAGGGTCCATTCTTAATAACAGTAGTAATACTAGTCCTTAAAAAGATCATCTATTTATTTCTCCAGAAATGAAACCTTTGCCAAAAAAAAAATAAAAGAACTCAGATGAACCCAGCACTGGTTTTGCACCCTCACACCTCACCTGAATAATCCTGCACCATGAAGGTAAAGCCTAACCATTCCTGCTTCTGGTTCAGCTTTGTGCTTTCGCTTCCATTCAAATTTCCAAGTATTTAATAATCTGCAAATTTTCTAAATCAGACTGAACCCTGCAATTAAGCTTTCTGACAGGAGAAATCAATGGCAAAAAAAGCTGAACATACTCCAGTCTTTCACAAAATCATCTGACTTGGTGATCTTTGTGCCTCGGGGGTGTAAAGTCCATCTGACTTTATTTACCCACAAGCTGCAGCAGGAACAGCAGGACTGTGTGAGCGTCAGAGTAAGCAGCACTTCCCTACCTGTAACAGCTGGGCCAAGCTTCTCCCAACAGCATCCAGGGGAAAAGAAGGGTTCTTCAAAGCCCCTTGTGTCAAACAGATCTTATAAACTTAAATATTACTAAGTCTTGATAGCAGGGTCTACGTTTTAGGAATGTATTCCCAGGCATCCATTGCAAACATGGTCTAAGGACTGTTCATGGCAGCATTCCACGTGCTGAGAAATGGGGATCTTGTTTTATGTTGGATAAATACAAAGGGAGGGAGAGCAAAGACAGAAACCCCTCCCAGCCCTTCCTCCCCACTCTGCTGAGGGGCAGGGACACAGCACTGAGGGACTTCCAGCCACACCAAGAGTCACTGATTTCTTTTAATGTCTCAGGCACTGCTAATGAGCATCTCCTTCAGTCCCAGGCTGCCTGCAAACACCACAGTTTCAAACACCTAAAACTGGAGGGCTCTACTGAAAATCTGATAGAAGATTCAGGAAAGATGAGGCAAGCCTGAAGCCCACAGGCAACCAGCCTAATGCAAGGGGGTCTCTTATCAGAGGAACCCATCCCTGTGGCAGGAACAGCTTCAGAGCAGGGCTGCCCTTATCTCCCTGCTCTGCTGCTGCCAGCACAGCAAGGGATGTGCCCAGCTCTGTTAGCCTGTCTGGCAGCTTTAGATCCCACCTCAGCATGATCAGCTTCAGCAGTTACAAGCCAAATATTCACTGCTCCTGCAGTTTATTGCCTGCAAATGCTCCTTGGAGAGTCCTTCCCTTAATGTCTCATTTTGCTTTTATGAGGGCAAGTAGCATCAGAGCATCTGGAAGCATTAAAAAAGGTACAATAAAAATCAGGTAAGTGCTGCTCCATCCTCTCCTGCTCCTATTCACTCCTCTTTTGGCTGTGTTTGAGCAGGGGAGTTTCTGTGATGGCAGCTTCTGCATGGAGCTAGGAGGTCTGGAATAAGCACTGGAGGTGAGTTGTCTCCTCTTGACATTATAAAGCTTTTCTATGCGTGTCCTTAATTTTAAGGTTCTGACTCTTTGAGATCCTGCTAAATGAATTATCACAGAGTCTCCTACAACCTTCAACTTGCATCAGATTTCAGCTGAATGGCCCAGAGCCTGTGGAAAAGCAACTGGAGCAGTGAGTAGCAAAGCAGAGAGGGAGAAAAGCAAGGATAAGCCAGGACAGTCATGGTTTGTTTGGTTAGGATCAGAGGAACTAAAGACAAAGCCTTAGCAAAGACAAGTGCAGGGGTTAAACGCCTGCACCAACAGAGCCCCAGAAGGAAGGAGATGTCAGCAGCTGTCTGAGCAGCTTGACTGGGCTCAGCTGGGCTGGGGGGAGCAGCCTCCAGCTGCTCCTGCCCTCTGCCCTGCTCAGGGACATCTGGGAGCAGGGAGCCAACTGATGGATGCCATTTGTGACACTTCCACAGCAAGTGCCCCTGACTTGGTGCTGACCTTGTCCTTCTGAGGCTAAGGCTGACCTGAGCCCAGGTCAGTTTAGAGGGTCAGTCTAAGTCAGAAGTGGTTTAGAAAAGTTCCCAGCATTTACAGTACCCCCTGGTGAAGGGCTGACCTGCTGGAAACCGCTGAGCACAGCTCAGACTGAGCCCTGGCTTTCCCCAGGGCTGGGAAATGCAACTCCTTCTGCAGCTCTCATCTGGGAAGGCCACAGCACTAACTCAGTTCAGGAGAACCAAGGAAAAGGCAAAACTGACTAGGGACCTAAAAAGTACAACTCTACCCCAGGCATCTCTTGTTGGCACTGTAACCAAAAATGTAGAAATTACAGCTTCATTGGCTGATTAAATACTGGAGCTGAAAGACTCTGAAAAGAATTTCTGTTAACAAAAAAACCCAAATGCAGGTAAAACTAAAAAGGTGCTAATGGATTTTAGGGACTGCTTTTTGACAGAAATTGTTAGGTGGAGGAGTGAAAGGGGAGAGAGTTGTCCTGAAAAATCAGCTGAGAGTCTTTCTGCTAAAATAGAAAGACGTTGCAGAAAAATTGAGTTTTGTTCACAGAGAAAAATCTAAAATTGCACCACTAAATCCACCAGAACTTACACCCCCTGCCTCCCACCCCAGGCTTCAATCATCCTCCTACCTGGAGAACGCTGCCACATTCTCTGCCAGGGTTTCCTGGTCATCCGCCCCAGAGCTGTAATAATCATACACAGACTTGGGCAGGAAGCTTCTGGCATACTCCTCAAAATCTGCAATGCACACCGGCCTGCCAGACATGGCTGCAGGTCCCGCTGGCTTGCTGTATTCCCACTCCTTTAAACTCCAGAGTTCTGCCTGTAAATCATTAATATGGGACCTCATCAAGAGTCCACTTGTCTACATTCCCCCCCTTCCAAAAAAAAAAGTACACTAACTTCTTGTGTCACACTGGACTTCAGCACCATCTTTTAGCTCATGTGGTCAAGGCCAACCTAAACCAGAATAAAATATGGTAAAAAGGAAGAGAATTAGTAAGCAAGGAAAGAAATATATAGTTAAAGCTCCAGTAACAGAAATGTTCATTCCCCTCTGTCACCCAAAATACCCAGGAGACTGAAAGCAGGAAGTTTGCTCACACCCAAAAAATACAATCTTGATTTGGAGGATTTCCAAAAGCAGCTCCCAGCCTGCACACACAGGGTAACACCTAACACAGGTGAGACTGCAGTTACTGCCATTAGAATCCTGGATACCAAGGCCAGTTGCAGAGCCCCAGCTGCCAGACATCCTTGGGCAAACAGCTCCTGATTTCCAGGTAATTCCATCTCCACAACACAGAGGGCTCCTGTTATTCCTCAGGAGTCAGATTCACTCACTGGCTGGAAATAAAATCATCTTCTCAAAGACACAACCCTCATCCAAAGCGCAACACTTGGTTCGCATTTCTTCATTACTCCTTGTTTTAAATTTTAAAAAATAAGCAGAGTTTGAAAGGAGTTTACAGTAATTGTTTGACAGGGAAATTAAGAGTATATCATGTGAATATATTCATTTTTTCAGCTGCAGACAGCACATTAATATCAATTTACACACAATTACACCATGAGGCATTTTTCACATATCAGTGTCATAAACAATTCAAATGCAAACTGCTTTAACCTTGGCACTTCACTGCGCTTGCAGCAAAAAACTGGGGACACGTCTGCTTGCATTTATGTAAAGTTGGCATCATCTGTGCTAAAAACAGGTATTTACCCTGGAGCATGAGAAAGGAAGTGCTGCATGATAGCTGAACATTCTAATGTGTGCAGCTGAGCTCAACCTTAATGAACTCAAAAGGTTTTTATGTTGGGAAGTCGCAAAAATTTCTGGAGGCAACAATAGTGTGGCACCACTGTTCCCCTCTCCCTGATCTGTAATATCTGTATTCCTCAAAACTCTTCCCACCCTGATATTTATTTTTCCAGTTGGATGCTTCTGTGCCACATTCACAGGATATTGGTGATTTACTTTAATTGCCCTAATTTGCCACTCGGGCTCAGAGCTCCTCTTTCCTCCCCTGCAGTGACGTTTCTCAGGTGCCACCTTCTCTGGATCCTCCCACAGGTGCCACTCACACCCCAAAGGCCCCCTGGGACCACTGAATTCCTACTGCAATGCAGCCAACACGCCTTGGGATGCTCCTCAGAGCCCAGGGGTCCAACTGGAACTGCAGCCTCCAGCAGGATGCACCACTTGCCATGGGGCTGAGCTGGAAGGTGCCAGTATCAGCACACAGGGAGCAAAACTAAGGAAAATGTGACATTTAGTATCAGGTCTCCCAGCACATCTGACACCAACACACACAGCTTCCCTCCAAGTAATTGGCTTCTCATTTTAATGAATTCTTCTGGGTGAGAATTTCCCTGGCTGCTTAATGAGGCTTTGGCTGTCCGACCTTTAACCCTGGAGCCAAGGAACAGCATCATGGCTCAACAGCCAAGAGCTTGCCTGAGCAGCCACACAAACCTCGCTGCCACAGCCCATGTCAAACACCCCAACAGAGTCAGGGCACTGTGAGCATCCCCTCCCTCATCTCCTGCTTCTCCCCTGCTCCTTTGGCAGCAGATGCAGCCAGACAATGGGGTCACACCGGAGCTCAGCTGAACCAGGTCCTGCAATGGAAACTTCTCACTGTGGTTCAGAAAGATCAATCACCAATTCCAGAGGGAAAACCCTACAGAGGGTTATTGAACAGACACACCTTGTGGCTCAGAAAACACTACTTGCAAAAGCCAAAAAGATTTCAGAGAAAAACCACAATATGCTTGTGCTGGTGGCTGTGACTTGCTAGAAAGGGAGACTTCTGCACAGCACTCCAGTCGGGTCCTGTGTCCTTCTGCAGGATCAGAGACAACATCAACAGTCTCCTGTCAACACACAAAAAGCTCTGCAGGGGAAACATGACCCAGCTGGGACTTTCTCCCTTCAGTTAGCTGCAGTAAAGATTAACTGAGAAGTTAACTGCAGCACAGAATCCAAATATTTTAGTGTACGAGCCATTGCCCATTTCTCAAGAGTGTTGTGCAAAGCTGTTTTATCAAGTACCTCACATAAGCAAAACAGTTACTTGGGCTTCTCAATACCCCACAATTTCTCCAAATAAAGTCATAAAACACCTGTTTTCTAGAGTGCTTTTGGACAGCATCTTACATCAGCCAAAGCTGAACCAATTTGTTTTGTCCCTTCCAAGCCAGCCAGGAGAACCAACAGAAAATATTTGTGGAGTTTTTACCCCAGCAGCCATCTGGCAACTCCACTGTGAGAGTCCAAGCCAAGGGATGCTACAGGGATGAGGACAGCTCAGCAGGTGCCTGGAACAGGCCCCTGGGTGTCTCTTTTGGGAAGTCTGGAGGCTGCAAGGATGGCAGAATAGTGCAGCACTGAGCAGAGACTGATTCTCCTGGGAAGAGCTGGAGAGTTCAATGAAACCAATCCAGGGCAGATTTACAAAGATGCATTACTGTTGCCCCCACAACCACAGCAACAAAGAAATAAAAAGTGCCCTTATCAAGATGATTTTGTCATTTCCTGATGTGTGACTGGCACCTGGAATGGCCACTGCCCTTTCTGCATCCTCTGCAAGCACATGAGGCACAGGGAAATCCGTGGTGTGCAGTTCAGCTCCCACACTCCCCTGGAATCCACATTACAGATGTAAAAGTCTCAAGTACCAGCAGGCTCCAAGAAATTCTAATGAGCCATAAAAAAACAGCACTTCCATGTAAAATGGAAATTAAAATGAAAATATTAGGATACCTACATCCCCATTTGTTCCCTGTGTGTTTAAACACAGGGCTTACCTTTCTCCTCAGGAAAGATGAAGTGAAAGTAAAAGCAAAGAGTTTTAGGTGTTTTTCTAATGGGAGAGGAATGAAGATGTTTGGTTAAAAATAAGTTACCACTGCAGTACTTATTGAAGTGAAACACCACTTACTCCTCAGCAGAAGGGAATGACAGCACACAATACTGGGCAGCTGCATTCCCAAAGCTGGGACTTACACTGGTCCAGTTCCAGATAGAAAAACCAATCTTTTCTTCCACTTCAGTTCTCTTCAGTATTTCCTCTATGAAACTAGAGCTTGGATTTGTCTGATTGCTTCAACCTGATAAAAACCTGATCCAGTTCTACCTGTAGTACTCCATGTGATGTTTTCATGGAGAAAATTTCATATTCTCACATGACAGAAGAACGAGGAGCTGATGAGGTAGCAAACAAAATGCTCCCAAGGCTTCATTTGACACCATTCCAACTTGCACTTTGCATCCAGAAATGAACACAGTGGGAAAGAAGAACAGCAAAGTGAGTGGCAATGGCCCAGGCCCTGTAGCTGCTCATTCACAGGGAAAGGCCCTCAGGTAACTCAGCTGAGCTGAGGGAATCCAGAGCCAGATCCAGCAGCTGCTCCAAGGAGGCCCAGGGATGGTTCCTGGCTGTCCCTGCTCCCTCTGCACAGCTGCCCCTACAGCCCATTCCTGCAGCACTGCTGGAATGGGAACCACATCCTGAGGATGGCTCTTGAGCTCTGCACATTTCTTGCTGGGCTCCAAATCCCAGAGGGAGTCAGCACAGCTTTGGCAGAATCAGGACATTTCTCAGGGAGGGGAAAGAGCTACCTCACATGCAGGTGAAGCCTTTAAGGGTTCAAGTTTTGCTGTCCTGCCCAGCTCCATTCTGAACCTGAGAGCTCTGGGTTCCTCCAGGGAAACCCTCCAAAAGGGAGCAATTCATTGATGTCCAGGTTCCTTTTAAAGATTTTAAGGAATCTTCACAAGTCACCACATCTGTGATTAACTGGAAGATCAGCATTATTTAAAAAAACCCCAAACCTTTTGTTAATGACACAGATGAGCCAACTCTGCACTAAGGAAATGAAAATGACTCCAAGCAGGTGATAAATACAAAATTTTATGTGGCATTTCAGTAAAAATACACCTAAGTATAAATTTGCAACACTTTGATGTAACAGACAACCCTGTGTAACATTTGCAAGAAGAAAACCCACATAACACGTGCCACTCCCACAGGGGCAGTAGATACAGAGCATTCCAAGACACACATACAAGTTTCACACAGATCCCAGGGACAGGAGGTTTGGAATGCTGGATGGATTTCCAGCCTATTGAAAAAAGAACCTGCCAGGTTTTTTCCATGAGGTGCTGTTAAGCATTCCCATTCAGTGGCATGCAGCCCAATTGATATTTAAATTGCTTCTCAACAATTTCAAACTAATTTTGACACACAGCTCTAGTTCACAAGCCTTAAGGCCCTGTCCTTCACCAGAACATTTTGAACAGTGCCAGCAGCAGCTTCTCCAAGGCCCTTTTGTCTATACTGAGGTTGCAAGAACAATTGCCATTTCTTCATGATTAATCCTCACAGAACAGAGATAACAGTACACCCAGATTGCACAAAAGGTTGATCCTGACTTTTTGGAAACACACCAAGTTTAAAACTATTGTCATGGTCTCATTAGCACTACTCACATGATTCAATTAAAATGTGTTTTAGTGGAAAAACACCTGATCCTGGAAGGCATATTAACATGAGACTCCTACTGCACAGCTAATTGTTTTACTGTTAAATACCAATTTACCTTTACAGTGTTTGCTGCCTGCTGTTTCCCAGATAAATATTAGTCAAAGCTGACTATCTCCAGTATCACACTACAGTCATTTTCCTACAAATGTAAAATTAAGTTGGAGAGATGCATGGTTGCACAGTGTCACCTTTTCTAAGCAAAGCCTTAGCCACAGTTCAGTGATCTTTGTAATAAGATACACCAATGCACATCAGATAGGCCCAGCACTAATATTCCCTACTTTACTCATGAAAACACAGGAAGAACATCCATGTCCTGTTCAAGAACCCTCAGAAGCCTGACCAAGCCCACTCTTGATTCACCAGACAGATCTAAGCTGCTGTCACTGCTGCCTGCTTACTTAATCCCTGCTCATCAGTGATCTTACAGCTCAGTCTGCCATGATGGAAAACACTTCCTATCTTTGCTTTAATAACCCAAACCCAACTGTGATGTGCCAGGACAGAGGAAACATGAGCAGAGAATTCAGACACACCACACAAAGGAGCTTCTGATGTCTCCCACAGCACCTCACAGACCAGGTGCCTTTGAGGACAAAGTGCCGTTTGTGGATTTGTTTGTTTGTGAAATCCAGAGGGAAACCCAACTCTTGAGAACCTCTTTGTCTTCCAAGTGCACAGTTCTTCTCTTCACGCTGTAGTGGCCACAAAGTTCTCCTGGTTTCTGCAGACAGAAGTGCAGCTTTTGACAGGCTGCTGTGTGCCTCACCTACTGCTGTGTCAGCTTTACACCTCTCACTTACACAGGACAAGAGCCAAACACCACAAGCTCTTCTCAACATAGTGCAATGTGTAGATATCACCAAGTCTGTGTTTCCACACATGTAAAAGCACATTTACAGGTGTCCACTACATGGAAATCAAACTCCAGACTGGGAGTACTGTAAAGTAAGAAAGTTCAAATTCAGGATATGCAGTATCATTTTCTTCTTTGAGCAGGTCTACCAGACAAACGCAGAGTTTCTACCATACGGTTTGAAAACATTTGGGACAGGACATAGGTGGGAAAGTTGCCCTTCTTGGCAGTTATGTTCTTTGTAAGCATTAAAAAACAACAACAACAAAACGGCTTTCAACACAAATTTGCCCTATTTATCTCCGGCTCAAAGGAAACCAGCATTTTGCATTTGCAGCGTCTAATAAGAGATGATCTCATCTCTGACTACTCTTCATTCTTGAAGAACAAGATGAAATTCATGCATGTTAGCAAGTGTTATGCAACATATATATATATTTTTTAAAATAATATCAAGATTAGGACACATCTTACACTCATGGTCATACATCAACAAAGCAGGAACATACAGAATCTCATGGAGGGTACTCCTCACCAAAAAAGACTTACACATTAACCCAAAGGAGTGATATACTGATATGCTTCATGACAAGTCTAACCACACCTAATGCTGTCTACCTGACAAGCCAATGTCACTTTACACAGTTCAACACATGCACATTTTTCTGATAGAAGCAGCAAAACCCAAAGCTCCTCATCCCTGTCCACCTGTGCCCCCTCTATTTCCCCAATGTGATGATTCCAAAAGTAGAAAAGTGATCAAAGGTAAAACCCTAAGTGCCTCCTCAGATAGCATCACTAAAGCAGCCTGAGCTCTGCCAAAAGCATTCTAAGCTGGAAATGGCAGGGCTGCACTGCACATGACAAACTTGTACTGGCATGATAAACACAACTTACTGACTCCAAAGTGAGTATTTCCTGCCGCAATGTCCTGGTGGGAATAAATTACCAAAAGAAAAAGAAGTAGTTGTGCTTTGGTAAAATTTCCCCCAACAAAAATAATTTCCTCTAAACCTTCTAAAAGTTCCAACACATTTTAAACATTTAGCTGCCACTCTTTCTGCCTGAGGTTTTTAATTACTCCAACTCCTTGGGTCAAACAACTCAAGCTGCACAGCCTCTGGATCACCAAAAACTGACACATCTGGGGGTGAGCTGCAGGATCAACTTCCAAAACAAATGCAAATAGAAAGGTGCTTCAGCTGAAAGTGATAAAAACAAACCCATGGTACACAACATTTCTGATAGAAGACCAGTAAAGTGCCTCCTTTCACTAGTGAATTGTCTCTGTGCTTCTGTGGCATTTGGGAACAATCAACACTCAGACAGAAGAGTCACAATCCTGCCAAGCTACCGTGGAGTTAAAGGTCCTGATCTTGCCCAGGTCAGTCCTTAGAGGGACACACACACACAATGATAATTTCAGAGCTGGTGAGCTGAGGCTGACACCCCCTTTTTCTCTGAGGACATGGAACAGATAAGACATTGATTCTGATTGTCATGGCTAAGGTCACACAACACACAGCAAATGTGCTTATCAAAGAAAGTAAGCAAATACTAAGCTTAAAAAAAGAGGAGCCTGCTGGCAGAGCAGAGCTTTGCGTAAACACCAACTACAAATCAAGTGTAAGCTCCAGCTTCAGACCCGGAGGGGTCTGACACTTCTTTGGTCCAGGTGTACAAGAGACACCACAGGGGAAGCTATAGTTCCTTCTCAGCACCCTGACTCTTGCGCTGCCTCACTGTGCTTTCAGTCTCTGATTCAGCTACAGGCTGCTCGCTCAAGTCTTCTGTCTCTTCTCCCCCTGATTCTTTTCCCAGTGCTAAATCCTCCTCTGACTCATCAGCACTGGAGTTGGCTGCATCTTCTCCATCCGAGAGATGGTTGACGTCGGCGGCCTCGTCGGGCTGCTCCAGCGCCGCGTTCTCCACGCTCTCCTTGCTGATGGCTTCCTCTAAACAAAGCAGAGACTGCAGTTAGACTGACCCACAGCAAAGTTTCCTGAGCTGCAGGACACGCTCTGAAACACTGAAGGACATTACTATAAGGATCACAATTATTATTCCAACTGGGATTGGAACCAGGTGATCCTTCAAGTCCCTTCTGAACCGTTCTGTGACTGAAAGCTTTTCCTTATTTCTCAGTTATTTCCTTAAATCTTCAGTAGATTTCTCCTTCATTTCCATTACTTTTCCTTGCATGTCAGGCACAGATGGACCTTCATTTTATTCCACTGAGTTACAAATCAAAGACAAACCAATTTTACTTGGCTCCTGGGTTATTGGCTCACACCTAACATCTCAACAGTGTTGCCCTTCCTCCTCCAAATTTACACCTGAAACTACAGCTCTGCTCCTCAGCCTCTCAGAGTCCTTACCAGGTGTTTCAGCCAAGTGTTTTGACTTGGCTGGGCAGAGGCAGTCTGAAATCAAAACCAGGACCTGCAGAAAGGAAAAAGGCATTTATTAGCAATAATAAAAACAGCATTTATTAGCAATTGCAAAAGTCCCTGCACTCATTCCTTTCAGATAGATATGCACAATCAAATTTACCAAATTGTTTTATCTTCCTTAGAGATAAGAGCTAAATAAAAACACGGGAAAAAGTGCATTCTCAGTGTGTACTAACCAGCATTCCCTGCCTTCTACTACCCATTTTCTGCCTCCTACTTGCCTAAATTTATTCAGTACTGACACTGCTCACAGCTGAAGAACAGCTCAGAACACAGCTTGAGAATTTTTACTTTCTGAAAATTTATGAAAAATTCTTGGTCAAGATTTCCTGTATTTTTGGATGTTATCCATTCCTATCTCTGGCTCTCCAGTACAGGTGTGTGCTCCAGCTTTTGTGCTCATTATTTGACCAGCCCAGTGCAGAACTCAAAATGCAAGGAAGACATTTGTGCCTCACTGTCACATGCTAAGAATAGTGCACAGAAAACGACAGAGCTGACATGATGTGAAAGAAATATCTCAATCACTGAAAAGCTTTTTGGAAAGAGCTGAGGGATGAACTTCACATTTTGTCAGCTTTTTCAGTTGGGGTATTGTTAGTGAAGGAGTATGGAGAGTTTCTTTTAAAACATGATATTCACTTGCTCCTAGTAATACTAACTTGTTTTGCTCTCATCTGGTGAAAATGTACCATCTAGAAAAAATGAAAGCTGTTGAAATTAAATAATCAAAAACATTTGCTTGTATACAGGGATTCTGCATACACACTGAGTATAAAACATGGTTTTGCCTAAATTCAGATTTCAACTGCTTTGAAATCACTTCCCAGAACTACTGGGAAATACATTGACAAAATTTTTCTTCATTTCACTAATATTTGGGCTGAAGGGCAGAGATCCACATAAAAGAAACAACTCTTACACATCCTGCAAGGAACA